AGTAGTCTGTGTCAGTCTTAGTTCCCTTTTCTTTCTGTTTATCTGTATATTTATATCACTTTATCTCTCTTTCCTTCCAATCTTTTTATGTATCCAGTTAATCTGTCTCAGTATTTCCTTGGTAATGTGTTTATCTGTATATATTACAGTACCCCTTTGCCTTCCAATCTGTTTATGTACCCCACAAGTTCGTCTCGGTATCTGTTTACTTTTCTAAGTATTTTCTATCTGGCTATGTTTGTATATTTATGCGTATACGAACTGATTTCCATCTGTTTATTCATTTATCCACCCTCGTAGTTAAAGTCGTTCTGCTTATTATTGATTACAACACAACGAGCGTTACCTTTCGGTAACCCTGACAGTCTAGAAATGCTTAAAACATGTTCATCTCTACGTTACAGAGAGCTACAGTTTAGAACTCCGGGTGTTTGGGACCTGGTAAATATTTACGTTTTGTTAGCAGAAACATGAAGCTTCTTAATCTGATTACTCCAGAGCATAGAGGACTTTAACACATACATAGAAACAAATATATAAATACACAGAAAACTATGTACACATACACAGAAATATATATACACATATACAGACACGTGCATATACACAGAGTTATATATATATACATATATACAGAGAACTATGTATACACACGCAGAGTTATACATACATATACAGAGAACTACGTACACATACACATAGTTATACATACATATAGAGAGAACTATGTATACACACGCAGAGTTATACATATATATGCAGAGAACTACGTACATATACACAGAAACATATATACAGAGATGTACAGAAATACTTTTATATATTATATCCTGTGGAAATATATATATTTTAGTCGCATTACGAACTGGTAGTTGTGTGTATGTTAGTTACATTATAAATTGGTAGTTGTGTGTATGTTAGTTACATTATAAATTGGTAGTTGTGTGTATGTTAGTTACATTATAAATTGGTAGTGGTGTGTATGTTAGTTACATTATAAATTGGTAGTTGTGTGTATGTTAGTTACATTATAAATTGGTAGTTGTGTGTATGTTAGTTACATTATAAATTGGTAGTTGTATGTTAGTTAGTTACATTATAAACTGGTAGTTGTATGTTAGTT